AAAAAAAAAAAAAAAAAAAAAAAAAAAAAAAAAAAAAAAAAAAAAAAAAAAAAAAAAAGATAATTGTGTCGAAAAGTGAGAAGTGTCTTTTAACGATAGTAAATAAATAGCCACGGTCGCATCAATTACACCCTCGTTCGCACAAGCAAAAACTACACGCTGCGCATAAAATGTATATATATATAAATGTACCCTATATATACCTCTATGTGATCGTCCGGCACGCACCTATTTATATACACGCTCGCGTATATACACATAATACACGTAGACACGCGAGGAGGAGGCGAACTTGATATTTTCAGCAGTGACACACTGTTCTACTTTTTTTTTTTTTTTTTTTTTTTCGTGAACTGTTATAGGTATACATGGGAAAACACGAGAGATTCGTCATTTTGTTTGTTTGTCCATACATTTTATATATGCACATAAGTAAAATAAAAAAAGAAAAAAACGGAATACAAGGAGCAGCAGATATATTATATTCGAATACGCGTTTTGTGTTATTCAGATGTCACGTCGTGCGGTGCATCGCATCTTCTCGAAGATGAATGTAATGTGTATGGAGACGCGGAACAGTGAAATTACACACAACAGAAGCGCGTGTGTATATAGAGGCGGTAAACACACACACACGTGCACCTATACCTATACCGATTATGCAACGAGCGATCTCGCGCGCGCGTGACGTACACACCTCCGGGTAAGCCATGGGCGTCGGTGATGATCGCGTATAGTAATGAGCGGGGTGTAACCCGTACAGTGTGTGTCCTTCGGTGGGACTAGAGTTATTATTATTATTGTTTTTTCATCCTTTCCATAAACGCAAATGACACTCTTTTATATTATGCTCTTTTAATATGATATATCCATAATATATAAAACATTGAGTCATGTATATTTGGTGTGTACCATCGCGTTTCGTCAACCAATGATGTTTCCGTAAGTAGGTATACACATTGCACACACGTACCTCCTACTGTATGAACGCGACAAACACCGGATGGCCATTAGCATTTTACGCATATTGTATAAAAAGTTTTCCCAATCCTTGTAGGTATAAGAATGTGATGCGCGTCTACTCGTTTTGCACAAGATGCTCCGATGTGTAATTTTACAACTCGCGTTAATGGAACACGCGCGCGGTTAGTCTATGTTGGTGTTTTACGAGGGAACCTTGACGTACTTTTTTTTTTTTTTTTTTTTTTTTTTCGGGTCTTTTTCCAAGGGAGGGGGTGTTGAAGTAGAGTATATTTAGTGGGTCAGCTCTTTCGAGTGCAATAGTGCCTTTTTTCGCTTGTTTAAATATAAACGAAAGTACGTTACACGTGTACGTAGAAACAAAATGTTTCTTTTTCTTTTCTGCATAAACACACCCGCGTGTGTGTGATAAATTAATAATGTGACGAGGTCAACGTTTACTAAACGGCAAAACGTACGAGTATAATATCATTTTTACACGTGATTGTTGCAGCGTCAGCTTTTTTCGTTATATGAATATAAAATATACATGACAATGGCACTCTCGGCGGCACAAAGGAGACAAAGACCCCGGTATTTTTTTTTTTTTTTTTTTTTTTTTTCAACTATAAAACTTGCCTGTATATCAGCCGATACTGTACGAGTTTAATGAGAGAGATAAGCCGAGAGCCAAAGGTCCCCGTGATATATTAACGTCTGTGCCGAGGGTAAAACTATACGTACAAGTGTATGAACGAAAAATTCGCCAATTATAGCCATATGTACAATTGAGTAGAGAAAAACTTTCTTATTTATAAGTAGTACTCTGTTGTGTAATAAATATTCTCTGCATCCGATCGTGCGAGTGTGAACGCAAGCCATCCCCTGCTCAATTATACGTGTGTA